TTTTTCACGCAACCTCTGGCATGATCAGCGATCACTGTCAACCCTTACTGAGTGCCTTTCTTTGGTACAAAACTACCACATGTGTGTCACACGCTCAAGCCTCTAGCCTGGCCTTGACCCATGGACAGAGACTAGTGAGTTTCTGTCGCCAAATCACCCATGTTCCTGGAAATCAATCAATCAATCAATCAATCAATCAATCAATCAATCAATCTCTATCTCCCCCCTCTCTGCCTCATTGAAAGGCATCAATACTCAGGGAAGTAGCAGTCAAGAAATCAAATGATGCATTGCTTTATGTAACTCTGCTGCACAAGTACCCTTTAAAGGGTTAAAGAGCAAACGTCACTTTGAGGATTAGAAGTGCCTGCCCCAAGCAGCGGTCTTTCCACTCACTGCTTTGTGCTGCTAAAAGCGGCCAGACGTGCCTGGGTTTTTTTAATCCTAGCTCTGGGAAAATAATTCTGAAACGGAAACTCGTGTGTAACATGTAGACAGAAGGAGTACCTTAGTGGGTTATGTTAGAAATGACATGAAGTGACAAATGTCAGTAACCTCGAATAGCCCCTGGCACACAGAGGGTGCTCAGCAAATGCTACTGCTTCTCTCCTCCCGTCATAGAATAAGCAAGGACACAGAGACTTACACAACTATGGGCACATCTGGCTACAGGTCTGGGGGTGCGGGTGGAGGGGATGAAGAAATTCAGAGCGGCCAAGGGGATGGCTCCCCCAAACTAACATTCCTTCTGCAACTACCAAAACACCCAATCCAACCATCAAGTTCCGACTCATGCCAACCCTCTAGGGAAGAGCAGAGCCCTCCTTAGGATTTCCAAGACTGTGGGGACAGAGGACCTCGTCTCTCGCCTGCTGGTGAGCTTGAGGCAGACACACTCATGAGGCCACCCCTATCACCATACGTACGTAGATCCTGGCCACTCCTGGGGATTCAAGAGAACCGCTCTTTTGCTTCTCACGCACTTTTCATTGGGAATTGCACGAAGGTTTACCAGTCCGGGTGCCGATTACCAGTCATGTCTGTTTTGAACCCAAGCAATGATGGACGCATATGAAATTCCAGGAAACCGGTTCCCTCTTTCCTACCCACTCTCCCTTTACCCTCCCTGTTTCGCCACTCACACCACTGGTCCTGTAGGGCTCATCGGCCCTGGATGCCCTGGATTTTCAGTTCCTAAGAGGGAACCGATTACAAGGAACTATATGTGACCTCCTCCCTGGGGGACGGACAACAGAAAAGTGGGTGAAGGGAAACGTCGGACAGGGCAAGATATGACAAAATACCCATTTATAAACTATCAAGGGCTCATGACGGAGCGGGGGAGCAGGGAGGGAGGGGAAAAATGAGGACCTAATGGCGGGGGTTTAAGTGGAGAGGAAATGTTTTGAGAGTGATGAGGGCAATGAATGTACAAATGCGTTTACACAATTGATGTGTGTATGGATTGTGATAAGAGTTGTATGAGCCCCTAATAAAATGATTTAAAAAATAATAAAATAAAATAAAATAAAATTATTGCAAAAAAAAAAAAAAAAAAGAAATTCATTTGTGCTGCTTTGGCGTCTTTACAGGAAGGGCAACGGCCATTTTTCAGGATCCCTGAAAAGGGCTAGGCAAGCACTGGCTGCGGTTGGAATGCTTCATATCTTAAGGTTTTAGATCAGCAGATCAATTACAAAGGCAAGCGCTGGTTTCTCAATGGCAATCCCTTTCAGGAGCGCACCCAACAACTGCTTCCCTTTACCTGCCTGAGGTGTATGTGCTTTTAAGGAAACAGCAAATCCTGGCTTGGAATTACTCAGGGACACACAGAAAACAAGGTACAACTCCATTTCTGCTGCCTCAGTCTACTGTGAAAACTTCAAAATAGATATTCTTCCCAAAGGTGATGGGAAAATGCTCAAAACCTAATCATCAGAAAGACTGTATCAGCTTGCAGGAAGCTGAAGATGGTGCCAAAGCTTGGGGATTCCCAAAGTTTCCAACCAGCTGCTTACGTCAGCACTCCAAAAGAGGAGCCTCCCATCCCGTCGAGAACCACCGGGCTCTCCAGGGGTTTGTCCAAGTCTTGGCTAAAAATAACCGTAACAGGGATTCTGCTAGGGATAGTACTATTTTAGGTAAAAAGCTCTGAAGGAGAAACAAGAATGGATGAAAAATCATCTGTGTTGGGTCGGTGATCCTACACAAGGTTAGTCGGCATTCCTGCTCAAGTCATGGCGGCCCACGAATTGTCACCAACTTCCTAAAGAACCGCTTTTTACAAGACTCCCGGAGTCGAGGAGAGAGGCAGCTGGAGGGCTGGCTGTCCCACTGCATGTGCGAGCCATCAGCCACACGGTCCCCTGAGCGCGAGAAACGCGGCTAGTCCAAAGGTGATGTGAAGTTTTCCAAGGGACCCTGGTGGGGTGGTGGGTTACGCGCTGGTCTGCGAACCACGAGGTCAGCAGTTGGAAACCAACTGCCCCAGGGAGAGAGACGAGGCCCTCTGCTTCCCCACAGATTTACCACCTTAGGGTCCCTCGGGGACGGTGCAATCTGTGTTGTGTGCTTGCTCTGAGCAGGAATCAAGTTGATTCCGTCGGGTCTAGTTTCTGGCCTAAGTGTACAAAGTCCACACAATGGATTTCTAGGACCTAGTGACCGTCCCCCCCACCACCACCAAAAAAAGTGAAACATTTCAATCCTAATCTTTCTAAATTACTAAGCAAGAGGCATGGAGTTCTGCGCCTGAAATCCCAATTCTTGAAAACCCTCCAGGGCACACCCTGAGAGGCCCAGGGGCACCCAGAGTCAGGACTGACCGAAGGACAGCTGGCTTCATTTCTGACATAGATGTTGAAATCATAATGTTCTGGCTATACTGGGTTAAATAATGTATGTGGTTAATAGGACAATTAAAATTACATTTATTACTTGCATTATAATTCCGGAGCCTAGTAGCCACACATTGGGCTGCTAATCACAAGGTTAGCAGTTCAAAACCACCAGCAGCTCCATGGGAGAAAGATCAGTCTTTCTACTTCTATAAAGAGTTAAAGATAGCTAGCTAAGCTAGCTAGCTAGCTGATAGATAGATAGATAGATAGATAGATAGATAGATAGATAGATAGACAGACAGATAGATAAAGGTTCCTGGGGGGTAGAATGGGGAGGGAGGGGCTAAAGGGGAGTTGATATCAAGAAGTTCAAGAAGGAAGAAAATGTTTTGCAACTGACTGTGGTAGCAATTGTACAATACTGCCTGATGTAATTAAACTATGGAATGTTATTATATCTGTAAGAGCTCCCAATAAAATGATACATAACAAAATAAAAATTGACATTAAAAAATGTTACAATCTTGGAAACGTACCAGTTTACCTTATCATTTAGGGTCTCTATGAACCATAACTGACTTCATGGAAGTGAGGTGTTATTTTCGCGGGTTGGGGGGATAGGGTATTATAATTCCATTGGCCAGTGCTGGTTTGGGGTGTTTCAGTTTAAATTATAACGGGCTCCTCCAAGATGTTGGTTTTTCTCTGTGTTGCTCCCTACCCCTCTGCCTTGGGCTTTTTCTTTTTAAAATCCCCTCTGGCTAAACAAGAGTCCCTGGATGACACACAGGTAACAGGACTGCTGAGTGCCTTGGTTTGGGTAATGTGTCTACGCACGTTGGCCACAGCTGAGTCAGAACAGGGTCTTGGACACTGGGTCCCAGCATGCAGAACCTCATGCAGAACCCGACGTTGAGACACCTGTCATGTCATTGGCTGGGCGTGCACTTGAACTTGAGGTCAATGGGCAGGGCTTGAGGGAAAGTCAAAAAGGAGTGCTGCAGACCCACAGACCACTTCATGATGCTGCTGTTCAACGTCTGCTCCGTCCAGGGCTTCTGCAGCCCCTGTTCCCATCTCTTTACCTCATCCCTTAAGAATTCTCTTTTTAATTCACACTGCCGCAAAACAGCCATCTCAGCTTCCGGAAGGGGCTCCAACCATGTTCATGTGAAACTTTCTTGGCGTTTTGGAAACAAAACGAAAAAACCTAGATGGTCAAGATGAGGGCAACAGGGCCAAGGGGCCAGGTTTCCCAATGACATGCTCCTAAGACAGCCCTACTGCCCCTGGAGAACAGGCATGTGCGCTGTCATGACGGTGCTTCATGTGCTGCTAGGAAACGGATGGGCACCGGCACTCTGAGCTGCACCGGAGGACAGCACTATGTCCCTTCCACCACTTTGACTGCGACCACGAGCTCTGGACTTGACACAAAGTCCATGCTGAATTACGCCTGCCCGGTAACTAGAGCTTCCCACTGAGCTCTGCCTCACAGCGACCCCACACTCGTGAAGAACAGCTGTGACCTTGGAGAAGCGCATCGCCAGGACTCTGGTCCAAGGCACAGCTAACTGGACGCAAACAGCAACCTCTGACGGAACAGCCAAGTGCATGAACCATTTGCGTGATACACTAAGACTGCTGCGTTTCAGTTTGATTGCACTTTGCCTCTTTCCCCATTCACCTTGGCTCCATAGAAACTTTGAAAGGCATTCATTCTTTCCCAATTTCCCACCTCCGCCCTCCATAAGGTGTTCTTTTGTAATCCCTGGGGACACAGTAACGTTTTTAGTGTGCACCAATTTGTATCAATTTGGGGCAGAGCCTTCTAAAGCCCGCACAGAACTGGGGCAACCTGCTATTACTGCCTCCTTCCTTAACATCTTCAGCAAGGGCAGGCTACTAACGAATTTGGAGGTTACCTTGCAAGCTTACCCAGAATGTATCATAAACTTACAGGCCCTCTGAAGAATATTTTCTAATTACAACTATTTCAGAAATTGTTTTCACCACAAAAAGCCCAGGCTGTGACCCCCTCTGCTAATGTCAATCATAAGCAGTCCGTGCATAAGTGTTAAAAAAAGGGTTTCTTTCGACCTTGCTAGGTAGTATAGATCAATAGACAAATAAAAACCAAAATGTTAACAAGTAACATACCAATTCCATTAACTGTTTGAGCTGGCCTATCTCTTCGGGTAGAGACACAAGTTTGTTGTTACTTGCGATTAAGACTTTGAGAGGCAGACCACATAGGCAGGCTGGCAGCGTGGACAGTTGATTTCGACTGCAAAAGACAACACACAAAAAGCACACGTAAAACACATGTTTAAAATGCAGGCACTACGTACTGTGTGTGAAAATGTTCTAAACAGGAAAAGAGAACGGAGTCATGTGAGCAGACATTTCACCAATATAAAAAGTCCAAACAATGTTTCTATGTGTGGTGACTCAAATCCGAAGTGTGCCAAGACAATGTGAGAAGGGAGAGATCCCTATCTGTGTCCATTCCCGGGAACAGCGATCCCACAGCATGTGGACATCACTGAACGATATCATGACTGTCACACGCACGTGCAATTTTGCTGAAGAGAATTCAAGAAGGATCACAGCGATCCAGTGACAGGGAGGTGCCAGAAATTCAAGCCGGTTCAGAAAAAGATGTGGAATGAGGGCTATCATGGGTCATGTCCGATAGATCTTGTCTGAAACCAGAGTATCAAAAGGCTCTTTCTTTTCCTTATGTTTTATTTACTATGCAAAAGAATCGGAACATGGCAATCATAACCTAAGGGTAACTTTCAAAAGAATGGGACTTCCAGAGCAGATAATGACGGACAAGGAGGCAGGTGTTTGGAACCAGGAAATACAGCACAGTTTACAACCAGGAAAGGTATGCATCGAGGCTGTAACCTTTAGCCACATGACTCAACTTGTATGCTGAGCAAATAGTCGGAGAAGCTGAACTACATGTGGAACGCAGTGATTGAAGGAAGACTCAGTAGCAATCTATAATATGTAGATAATATAACTTTGCCTGCTGAAAATGACCAGGACTCGAAGCACTTACTGATAAAGATCAAAGAATATAGCTTTCAGCACGGCTTATACCTCAAGCTAGTACAAACCGAAGCTCACTGCCATCAAATCGAGTCTGACCCAACAGGGACCCAATAGAACCAAGCAGTACCACCCTTGTAGGTTTCCAAAGCTGGATAGCAGCCAGCAGGTTCAAAGTGCAGAATGTGCAGTTAGCAGTTCAACAGGTAACCCACAACGCTAGCAAGGTTCCCACACACGTGAGCAAAAAGGGGACAAACAGCTCCATAACTGGACCAACACAATGGCATCGTACTAAACAGAGCAAATGCTGAAGCTGTGAAAGGCTGTTTTTCACGGGGATCCTCAATCAACACCCATGGAAGTAGCAGTCCGAAAATCAAATGGCGTATTCCATTGGGTGAACCCACTGTCAAAGACCTCTTTGGAAGGTCAACGAGCAACGATGTCCCTCGGAGGCCTGAAGTTCACCTGACCTGATCGAGGCAGCACATTTTCAATATTTCAACCTCACGTGCATGGGAAAGCTGGACAATGGATAAAGGGGAGGAGGAAACCGACGCCTTTGAGCCGTGTGTCGGTGCGCGGTGTAATGCAGCGCCACAAGGCCTGCGAGCAGGGAGAACGAATCCGTCTTGGAGGCCACGTTGCTAGAACACTCCTTAGAAGTGAGGATGGCGAAACTCTGTCTCGTGTGTTTTAGACATGTACTACGGAGGGACCAGGCCCTGGAGAAGGACCGGGGTGCAATTACATATTTTACTATGGGTCTGCTATTCCGCCGAGTATGAGAGTGAGCCATCTCAGAAGCAGAAGTGGAGGTCCCATACACGTCCAAGAAAGAAGTGGTACCGGCTGAGTACATGCAAGATTTCTGCCAGAAACGGTGGGAGCAACAAAGGCACTGAAGCAGCAGCATCAAGACCCTGAGGTGGGGCAGTGGGAGGGCTTCCTACCCCTCAGATATGGAAGCAGAGGCTAATAACCAGAGAGAGATTTGTATGCCGAGCAAATAGTCTGAGACCCTGAACTACAGACAGAACACAGTGATTAAAGCAAGAGTCCTGAGCAATCATTTGTCCGTCTGTCAGAATGGACGAAAGAACTGTAGCTTTACCGTTTTGCAACCTGGTGTTGTGTAGGTGCCATTGCATGGGCTCCAGCCCATAGCAACCTTATGCGCATTAGCATGAAACACTGCTCGAACCAGTGCCATTTCACGATTGCTCCTGTGCTTGAGGGATTGTTGCAGCCACTGACCAACCCATCTCGTTCGCTGCCCGTTTAATTTACCAAACGTGATGCGCTCCTCTAGGGACTGGTCTCTCCCGACAGCGTGTCCCAAGGACGTAAGATGAAGTCTCCCCAGGCTGCCTCTAAGGAGCACTCTGCTCATACGTCTTGCAGGACAGATCAGCGGGTCCTTTTAGAAGTCCATGGTACTTCCGGTATTCTTCACCAGCACCACAATTCATCGATTCTTCTTCGGTCTTCCCTGTTCAAGGTTCAACGTTCACATGCAGGTGAGCCAACAGAGAACGGCATGGCGCGGGTCAGGGGCACCTTGGCCCTCAAAATAAAATTGCTCTCCAATGTCCTGAAGACGCCTTGTGCAGCCGATTTACCTGATACATCTAGTCTTTCATGAGCGTTGATTGTGGATCTAAGCAAGGCAATCCATTCTTTTCTCCGTTTATTATGTTCCCTACTGGTAAGGTCGTGAGGATGTTGGTCTTCTTAATATTGCCTTGTAATTCATACTGAAGCCTGCAATCCTCCATTTTTTTAAAATCATTTTAATCATTTACACAGCTTTTATCACAATCCATCCATCCATCCATTGTGTCAAGTACATTTACACATTTGTTGCCATCATCGCTTTCAAACATTTTCTTTCTACTTGAGCCCTTGGTACCAGCTCATTTTCCCCCTCCCTCCCCCACAAACCCTTGACAATTTATAAATCATTATCTTTTCATGTCTTACACTGACCGATGTCTTCCTTCATCCACTTTTCTGTTGTCCGTCCCCCAGGGAGGGGGTTATATGTAGATCATTGTGATCGGTTCCCCCTTTCTCCCCCACCTTCCCCTTGCCCTCCTGATATCACTGCTCTCATTATTGGTCCTGAGGGGTTTAGCTATCCTGGATTCCCTGTTTCCAGCTCTTATCTGTACCCATGTACAATCACCTGTATATTGCAGGTTGTTAATAAGATTTCTTCCAATATAGATGCTAAATTTGTCTTCATATCATCCAATTTCTCTGATGATTTGCTCAGCACACAGACTGAATAAGTATGGGGACAGGATACAACCCTGAAATACACCTTTCCTTATTGTAACAAAGGCAGTATATTCCTTTGTTCTGTTTGCGCAACTGGCCGTTGATCCAAGTGCAAGTTCCACATAAGCATAATGGAATTCTGGAAATCCCATTCCGCTAATGGTTATCCATCGTTTTTTTATGATTCACAAAGTCAAATTCCTTGCCATAATCAATGAAAAGCAAGTAAACATGTTTCTGGTATTCTCTGCTTCCAGCAAGGATCCATCCGACATCAGCAATGACATCCCTTGCCCCTCTTCCACTTCTGCATCTGGCCTGAACCTCTGGAAACTCAATGTCCTGCTGTAACCATTGTTGGAAGATCTTCAGCAAAATTTTGTTTGCATGCAATTATCAGCGATACGGTTGCATAGTTTGATCACCTTTCTTTGGAGTGGGTACAAATAAAGATCTCTTCCAATCAGGTGGCCACGTAATCTTCCAAATTCCCTGGCATAGTCGAGTGAGTGCTCCATCAGCTTGCTGAAACATTTCAATCGGTGTGTGAGTCCGGGTGGACTAGAGAGACAAATTCATAGACCCTCATATGTGTATAAGAAAAAACTTTCTATACAAGAGCAATTGAAGATTGAGGAAACATCCCAGCCCAGTCCAGATCATGTCCATCAGTCCGATATTAGCCCTTATGTCTGATACAATCTATAAAGTCCTCTTCAGACTCACGGAACACATGCAATGATGCTGAACGCAGGAAGATCGCAGGCCAGTGGGTAAAAGGTCTTGTGGATCCAGCGGTGGTGTGAGCGTCTCAGCACTGGTAGGGTCTCCACGTGGCTCCTCCAGCTCCAGGGCTCTAGGGTAGCTCCACATCTTGTCAACAGAACTGTCTTGCCAGGAGTGAGCCTTGTCAGTAACATCTCCAAGGGAGTGAGCATGCTTCCTGCCTCCAACGAGCCATTTATCTCCGTTGTGCTTCCAAATGAGGTCATCAAGCTGCAACCTGATTGACAGGCAAAACGCCACCCCTTCACTCTTAAGCCTCAAATGGACAACAGCTTATGTAACTAGCACAACTGGTACTCCATTAGTTTCTGGAGCCTTGCTTTTGGCTAATGCTTTCAATGCAGCTTGAACTTCTTCCTTCAGCACCCTGGGTTCATCCTCATGCAATCTCCTTCAAGGGAGCAATGCTGACTCGTTCTTTTTGGAAGAGTGCCTGTGAATTCTTTCCATCTTCTTGCATCAGTCACCAGCGTGCTCACAGAACCTTTCAATATTGCAACTGGAAGCTAGGGCTTTCTCGTGAGCTCTTTCAGTTTAAGATACACCGAGTGTGTTTTGGGTTTCCTAACTCTAGGTCTGCACACCTCATTATAATAGTTGACCTTGACCTCTGCTCAAGCTGTCCTTTGAAATGTTCTGTTCAGCTTTTTGACTTCACCTTTTCTTCCCTCTGTTTTAGCTGCTCTATGATTAGGAGCAAGCATCAGGCTCTTCCGGCATCCGCTTGGATTTTCTCTTTCCTGTCTTTTAAAAATTTCTTCTTTTGCTTTCTTCATGCATGATGCCCTTGATGTCCTCCTACAGCTCACCAGGTGAGATGGTTTATTGTGCCAGCCTGGCCGATACACGCAGGTGGGATTGACTGAGGGGCAGAGAGATAAATGGCTCGGTGAGCCTCGCTTTTCTTGTCTCTCGCTCTGTCATTATTGGACCAGTGTGCGGCTGCCTTGCTTGTTCTGTGCCTCAATTTAAAGGCTACACTGCCTGTGGGACGCCTAGCCTGTGGACTGTGTCACTGTAAGTGGAGGGCCCTTTAAGAGATCGCTGGAGCTGGGGACTGGCAGTTGGTGACCTGCCTTGTGATTGGCTGCTGTGCTGACATAGCCTAGCTCTCTCTATAAATAGAGGACGATCTGGCAGCAGACAGGACTTGAA